TTTTATGCTCAGCGCTGTACAATAGGGGGGTACAATACGGCGCTGCTCTGGGGGTCCCTGCAACAGTTACCTTGTCCTTCGTTCCCACGATGGGTCCCCTGCAGGTCCCCCCACTCCTTTCGAGCCAATGCCAGCATCCGGCTTCTGTGTTCCGGTCCCCGTGACGTCGGGACTGTACGGGGGCCGCCGGGTAAGGAAAAATTTCATTTTTTTTTTTTTTTTCAGGGTTTAGGCTTCCCTGAAACATTGCTGTTTTCATCCCATTTCGCCTACAGGTCCCTAGGGACTTGACCTGTGCCCTGCCTGCATTTTGAGTTCCTGTGGGGGAGGACCTGGAGAACTTAGAAAAGTCATGGCGTGGGAAAAGCGTCCAGGGACAAGAAAAGCGGTCCTGTTAAGAGCGAAGGGAACAGGATAGTAAATGGAACCTGGGGACAGAATCGGTGAGTGATGATTTGTGGGGAAATTTTCCTAAAAATGGCCTTAAAAAATATTTCATGCGAGCAATTTGACCGCTTTCATTATCATTAAATTATCATTATGATTATGATTTAAAAAGGAGCCAAACAACTATGTGATAATAAATGGCTTCATCACTATGCTTAAAGTGAAGTTCCACCTGAAAAAAAAAAAAAAGTCAGCAGCTACAAAAAATACACACTTACCTGTCCAGTGGTGTCCTCACCACCGCTGGTTTCACCGGTTGTCTTCTCTCCCTGGTGCCGGCATCATCAGTGTGGGCACCCGGCTGTGACAGCTTGCGGCTTCACATCAGGGTGCCCACTGCGCATGTGCGAGAAGCGCTGCGCTTTGTGAATGGCTCCATGGTCTTCTGAGACCGTGGATTACAACCCAAAGGTGCCAATCCTTAATGGGCAGCAGGGGACAAAGGCTTAAAGTGGAACTTCTCGTTTTGGGTGGAGCTCCGCTTTAAATAAAAGACAATTTTTATAAATAAAAGACCAGTCATTTTTTCAATATCCATGCCAAAATGTCACGATTTCTGCCAGGATATGCAAGCTTTTAAGCACAACTGTCAAAGTCTATGGGGCCGTATTGGGCAGGTACGACCAGCAGAGGGAGCCTTTCAGTACTTAATTTATACAATTTGCTTGAGGTGATTGTAGCCGTATTAGTGCATTTGCGACAGAAACAATTGAGTACTGATGTGATACTTTTTTTATTTGCACTAACATACAATTTTGAGGACAAGCTTTCAGGGAGTGTCCCCTTCTTCAAGGTCCAGGCAGTACTACTACACAAAGTTTTAGCAGAAGAGATGTTGAAAGGGGGAGAAAAAAACCAGAAAGAGACACACACAAACAAATGTACACAGCAATGGTTATAAGACTAGGATTAGACTAGAGATAAGACACAGGAAAAGCAAAGACTGGGGGGGGGGGGGGGCCGGAACTGTTGCTTTTGCTGTGTCTTATCTCTAGTCTAATCCTAGTCTTATAACCATTGCTGTGTACATTTGTTTGTGTGTGTTTCTTTCTGTTCTTTTTTTTCCTCCCCCTTTCAACATCTCTTCTAACATTCTGCTAAAACTTTGTGTAGTAGTTCTGCCTGGACCTTGAAGAAGGGGACATACCCCGAAAGCTTAATAAGTATAAATCAGCACACACACATATATATATATATATATAAAATCCTCAGAAATCCCTAAAATACCCCGAAAGCTTGTCCTCAAAATTGTATGTTAGTGCAAATAAAAAAAAAGTATCACGGACAGTACTCAATTGTTAATGTATACAAAAAATGGAGTCAGCAGCCATCTGATCTTAGTAGGTATACACCTGTGGAGGGGGAGAATGGGATCATTTAGGTCAACACAAAGAGGCAAAAATAATAAGCGTACTTTTTCTTTAAATTACTGGTGATAAGTTCTCACTATCTTAATAAGTACACATCTGTAGGGAACAGAATATCTTTATGTACATCTCCTGATAATGTTAACATATATCCTAGCATTGTCAGGAGATGTACCCACAGTATCTGAAAGTGCTAGGACTCCTTCATTAGGTTTTCTGGAGATAATACCTCACATTCTTCTTTTCTTTTATATATAGACAATGGTGCTTGCCTCTGCTGTCACTTTGATGGGAAAATTGGACAAAGCAAACCGAGAGTGAAAAAAACAAATTTTTATAAGGCTAGGTTTACACTGTAGAGGGTTTGTGGCCCATGTTTGCTTGTGCACAGCATAACACAATGGGCTGCTGTGCCTGCGTTTCTCACAAAAAAAAAAAAAAAAAAAAGGTTCTTGCATAGTTTTCTAAATGCAGCCACAGAGACAATGCATGATGCTATGCTTTTGCACCATGCGATTTACCAGTGGTTCCTTCACCTACAAACGTGCTGCGGGTTTTAGATGCGTGGGGTAGGCATTATGAATGAATGGCAGGACTGCGTGTCTCTACAGGGCAGCATGTTTTGGCTGAGGGTGGTGCTGAACAGTTGCGAGTCCCACACCCGCAACAATGTGAACTTAGCCTAAGGCAGTAATGGAGACAAAGCATTCATTCAATTGCTTGGTAAAAAAAATTTGCTAATCAGCCAATCACATGGCAGCAAGCCAATGCATTTAGGCATCTAGACATGGTGAAGACGACTTGCTGAAGTTCAAACTGAGCATCACAATGGGAAAGAAAGGGGATTTAAGTGACTTTAAATGTGGCATGGTGTTGGTGCCAGACAGGCTGGTCTAAGTATTTCAAAAACTGCTGATCTGCTGGGATTTTCATGCGCAACAATCTCTCAGGATTACAGAGAATGTTTCAAAAAAGAGAAAATACCCAGTGAGCAGCAGTTGTGTGGACAAAAATGCCCTGTTGATGTCAGAGGAGAATGGGCAGACTGATTCGAGATGATAGAAAGGCAAAAATAACTCAAATAACCAATCGTTACAACCAAGGTATGCAGAATACCATCTCTGAAAACACAACACATCAAACCTTGAAGCAGATGGGCTACAGCAGCAGTAGACCACACTGGGTGCTACACCTGTCCGCTAAGAACAGGAAACGGAAGCTACAAAAACATTGCCCGGTCTGATGAGTCTCAACTTCATCTGCGACATTCAGATGGTAGGGTCAGAATTTGGCACAAAAATAAAATTTGCCTAGTATCAACGGTTCAGGCTGGTGCTGTAATGGTGGGGGATATAATATATATATATATTAGCTCTTCTACACAAATGTTATTCTTCAATAGAAGAAATAATAATTATTCACTCTGTGCCTGTAACCCCTTTCTATATTTTTAGGGACACACCTGGTTACATGCATGGATTACTATCTTTACCGGTTGGTGCTTTCCACTATGTGTTCTCTACAATTCTGGATTAACATGGATTCTGGGCTGTGCACATACTCTGAAAATATCCTATTTAGCAAGTTTGATTTTGGCAGTCTGCAAGGAAGAGCAGGGACTGGCCAGAGGGGCATACCTTAACACAGTTGTCCAACTTGAACATGTACTGAAATATGTGTGAACTAAGATTCCCTCTTTTTAAGCAAATGTTTATGAACATGTAAAGGTTACACCTCTTTAGTATCTCATGTATATACATAAGTCATCTAGGACCTGAGTAGAACCATATATCCATTTGCACTGAGAGTAGGGCAGTGATTAAAACAGCAGGAAATGCCCAAAGCGATCAAGAGTATGTATGTATAAAGTTTCTGGATTATACATTAAACACTTGCCCTCCTGAGGATTTACCTCCTTCCTGACCAGGTCATTTTTTGCGTTATGACGCTGTGTTACTTTAACTGACAATTGCGCAGTCATGCAGTGCTGCACCCAAATTAAATTTACGTCCTTTTTTTCCCACGAATTGAGCTTTCTTTCGTTGGTATTTGATTGCCTGTGCATTTTTTATTTTTTGCGCTACAAGCAAAAAAATACCGACAATTTTGAGAAGAAAAAAACAATATTTTGGACTTTTTGCTATTAAACATGCCCAGTAAGAAAAATTAAAAAAAATCTAATTTTGTCATAAATTTAGGCCAAAATCTATTTTGCTGCATGTCTTTGCTAGAAAAAAATCCCAATATGTGTAAATTAATTGGTTTATGTGACAGTTATAGCATTTACAAATGGCGGTATAGATAATAGGATTTTTTTTCTACTAGTAATGGCGGCGAACAGTGATCAGTGCTAAAAAAAAAAAAAAACTGTAGTACTGACACTGTACTAATGGCACTGGGCAGGAAGGGGTTAACATGAGGGGCGATCAAATGGTTAACTGTGTGCTGGGAGTGTTTTTACTAGGGGGCGGGGGTGGTTCACTGTAAGCAGACTGATCGGGATGGCTGTACTGTGCACAGCCATCCCGAGCAGTGTACTCGAGCTGATAGAGAAGAAGACTGTAAACAAAACAGTCTTCCTCCTCGTCGGTGTTTGCTGGTAATCGCCAGGCGCCAACGCGCGCCCCCTATCTGGAAATGCAAAATCACGTACATATATGTGATTTTACGCGCAGGTGCCACCCTGTAGCATTATATCTGCTATAGGGCAGTTCTTAAGCGGTTAATAGGAGCAAATAATTATGCTCTTTGTATTTTGCTTCCAATCACATACCTGTCTACTGGGCAAAATGATCTGTTTTAAAGTGAATTCAACAGAAGTGTTGCTGGTGGATACGATGTGTATTAGGTCAGTTCAACTAAGTTAACATTGGTCACTCACTAAGTATGTATAGTATATACTTAGCACAGAAGACATGCAAGTGTCAAATCTTGTATAATTAAACCAGTTTCCAAAAATCAAAAATGGCAGGTTGGAGAGGTTCTTCTTTATCCTTTAAATACAGTAATCAAAACACTAAGACAACCATGTAACATATTACTTTGAAAAGACACTTTGGACTTTGTAAACAGTATTTTAAAACAAACATGGCACTGATGTATAGCAGCCCCTCTGTAATTCATCAGAATATATACTATAAATTTCAGTTTTTATCCTTGCAGTTCCCTTTGGGCAGTGGTTGTCCTTCACTCATGCCGAACACGTTCCAGTGCTACATAAAAGTTAGTCTTTTCCTCCAGACTGTGCCAACCAATAGGTCCAACTTCACAGTCCGCACATACTAGGAACTTGACACTTCCCACATCTTTGGTGAATCCCACATTCTCAAAAGTAAACATGTCATGTACCAGCCAGTGCTCAACAAGCAGCTCAGAATCAGGACTGGAATCTTCAGCCAAGGAGGATTTTTTCTTCATTCGGGGGAGAAGCAACTGTATATATATAAAAAAAAAAAAAAAAAAAAAAGAAGAGCAGGATTACAAAAACGTGGCTTGTGTATGACCAACCAAAGGAAGCAGCAAACACATATTGTGCATACAGTATTAACCGGTTCCCACCCGGCCTATGGCCAAATGGCGGCCAACAAAAACCCTCGTCCCTCCGGGTGGACACCATATGGCGTCCTTTCAGGCATGCGCAGTTTGCATGCCAGCAGAGCTGCACAGTGGTGCAATCTGTCACCGGCCATGTACCTCGGACACGGCCGATGACAGATTTGTGTACCGGCCCCGTTGCCAGTACCATGTGACCTGCTGTGACCAATCACAGCAGGTCACATGACACTTGTATACAATGGATGGCTTCCTATCATGCCATCCATTGTATACAAGTGTGGCTACCTGTGAATGGTCACAGCGATCACATGAACAAGCTGGGCCAATCACAGCCCAGCTGTGTCATGTGATTAGCTGTGGCCAAATCACAGTTAAGGAAAAAAAAAAATCCTGAATGAATCGATTTTATTCAGGTAAATGCTTGCTTATAGCAAAGTAATTCTTTGCTATAAGCAAATATATATAGATCACTTCCCCAAAGTAGTACAATGTTACTATGGTAACATTATACTACTTTGGTCATAGTGAAGTATGAAAAAAAAAAATCTTAAAAAAAAAAAAAGAGAAAAAAATTTAATTAAAAATAATAAAAAAAATAAAAACAAATTTTAAAAAAATTATCAAATTTTTTTTTTGTACTGTCACCAGTTAGTGTCCCTGATCACCGCCATGACAGTTATATGCTGATGCTGTACTGCACTGGTGACAGTATGTAAAAAAAAAAAAAATTGTGAAAATTATTTTTTTTATTTCTTCATTTCCGAAAAATGATAACAAAAAAAACTACAACTTTAAAAAAAACTTGCCATGCCTTGCCATGAAATACGTCGGACTGTCTACTATTTTTTTTTCATACTGTCACCAGTCAGTGTCCCTGTTCACCGCCATACCACTTATATGATGACGCTGTACTGCACTGGTGACAATATGTAAAAAAAAAAAATAGTGAAAATCATTTTTTTAATTTTTTAATTTTCCGAAAAATTATGACAAAAAAATACAACTTCAAAAAACTCGCCATGCCTCTTATGAAGTACGTCGGACTGTCTACTCTGCAAAAAGGGGTCATTTGGGGGATATCTGTACTGTTCTGACATTCGTGGACCTCAAGAAATTAGATTGGCCGTCAGAACTTCAGGATTGATCAATATTCAGATCTATACCATAGTTTGTGAACTCTATAACTTTCCTACAGACTAAATAATAAATACTAATTTGGGTTATTTTCACCAAAGACATGTAGCAGAATACATCTTGGCCTAAATTTATGAAGAACAATTATTTATTTGGAAACTTTTATAACAGAGACAAAGAAAAATGTGTTTTTTTTTCAAAATTTTTGATCTTTTTTTGTTAATGTAGCAAAAAATAAAAACCCCAGCGGTGAATAAATACCACCAAAAGAAAGCTCTAGTTGTGCGAAGAAAATGATAAAATTTTAGTTCGGGTACAGTGTTGTATGACCGCGCAATTGTCATTCAAAGTGTGAGAGCGCTGAAACCTGAAAATTGGCTTGGGCAGGAAGGAAGGGGTGAAAGTGCCCGGTATGGAAGTGGTTAAAAAAGAAGCAAATAAGAAGCCGGAAGGGTGTTTCTTAGGTAAAAAAAAAAAAACCTAACATGTGAATGAGGGGGGAAAGTCTGATGACTAACCAGATTCTCTCCTCCATTCACAGATCTTGTTACAGGCAGAGAGAGCAACAAAAAAATGTTCCTCTATGGAGGAGAGGGTGGGTCCCTCATCTTGAACCTTTTTTCACAGCAGCTACAAAAAAAGATTCAAAGTTACTAACCCCAGAGGTACTAGAAATTCACAGACAGGAAGAGGATAGAGCATCCCTGTACAGATGGTTTGTACAGGATCCAGCTGTCTGCATGACATTGGACATCCTTCATTACAGGTAAATTACCTAACTAAAGCTATAGGGATTTTTTTTTCTTGGCTAAACTTCAGCTTTAAAGATGCAAGCTTTTGAGATGCCTTACATTTCTTCCTTAGGCTTTATACCACTGATCCATGGCATCCTCAAAGCTTGAAACCGTAATAACCTAGGGCCAGTTTACAAACAGTGAGGTGACTGGTATTTTTCCGCACTTTAAGAACACCAGTCACCACAGGGGCACATAGAAAACAGAGCTGCTATAAAATGCAGAAAGGCTGCATATATCGCAGCGCACTGGATGGCATCTCACCTCACCGCAGAGCAGCAAAACACACCATGCTGCAGTGCAGTGATAGGAAGTGTCACTTTTTGCACTTCAATAAAGTTGAAGAGAATAATAAAGAAAAAAAGGAAACATGTGAAGCAATGACTTTGGTGTCACTCCTCCCACACAGACACATCATTTATTAAGAGGGATCTGTGAATAGAAAGACTACAAGTCCAATCTGCGACTGTGGCAGGAGGACTTGTAGATCTCAGTGGAGTGCAAGTTTAGTGATGTCACCACACCTGAGTTGTTTCCTTCCTCCAGCCCTATAACGGTAGGTCCATACAGTTCTGGGGTTACACTGATTGCAGTTGAAATGCTCTGCAGGCCTGAATGCAAAACATAATAAATGCACAGTTCTTTCTTTAACAATGTATTTGTTTTTTTTCAAAAGGTGGACTATGCCTTTAATGACTTGCCCTCCAGAAGATTTACCTCCCTTCCTGACCAGGCCATTTTTTGCGTTACAGCGCTACGTTAATTTATTGGATAATTGCACTGTCATGCAACGCTGTACATAAATGAAATTTGTGTCCTTTTTTCCCACAAATAGAGCTTTCTTTTGGTGGTATTTGATCACCTGTGCATTTTTAATTTTTTGCGCTATAAACAAAAAAAGACCGACAATTTTGAAAAAAAAAAACCCCAAACAATATTTTTGACTGTTTGCTATAAAACATCCAGTAAAATAATTTTAAAATCAAATTTCTTAAAAAAATCCCAATGAATGTAAATTAATTGGTTTACATGAAAGTTCTAGTGTCTATAAATGGCAGTATTTATACTGGAATTTTTTTAATACTAGTAACGGCGGTGATCAGCAACCTATATCGGGACTGCGTTGGGCATTCTAACACTGGGGGGAACTGACTAACTGCCACTAACATCCCAATGACACTAATACAGTGATCAGTGCACTGACACTGTACTAATGACACTGGGCAGAAAGAGGTTAACATCTGGGGTGATCAAAGGGTTAACTGTGTGCTGTTTTACTGTGTGTGATGTATTTTACTAGGGAAACATACTGCTGTGTATTTCTCTGCTGTGCAGAGAAATACACAGCAGACTGTTACTGCTGGCAGGAGAGAGACCTGTGTTGTTTACACACAAGTTTCTCCCATCAGTGATACTTGACGATCGCCGGGTGCCAGCGGGGATTCTCTGGCAGGGACATGGTGATCGACATCTGTAGTCACCAATGGCGGTGTGGGTAGGTCGCACCCCCTACCTGCAAATACAAAATCAAAAATCACACACACAAATAAATAAAAAATAAATATATATATATATATATATATATACACATATACATATATATATACACACACATACACACACACACACACACACACACACACATAGCCAATAAGTCCTGATTCACACTTGAGTTTTTTGACGCTTGAATCTCAGAGCTCCAAAATGATCAACCTAAATTCCATTTATTTCATTAGTGTCTGTTTACATTTGACCATTCAGCTGAATGTAGTTCGACAGCTGAAACTCAAAAAGATACAAGAGCTACTGTTGAAGCAGAAATTGTTAATTTTGGCCCTTTACACTTCAATGGGAGTGCCTGAAAATGAGTTCTTTATGCCTAAACAACCATCTCCATTTAGTAACTAGCTTTGTACTGGCTAAAACAAAAATACTCAAGTCTGAATATATTCGAAAAAAAGTTGAAAAACGGCCTGTAAATGCTCACGCCCCAGTGTGAATAGTCTAAGGAGTACAGCTTAGGGTTTGTTCACACAGCAAACCGCACTAAACGTACAGCTGCTAGTGTGCACTGTGTGACACACTCCCACTCTGGTGTGAATGGACCCTTCAAGCAGAACTTCAAGGAAAAAGTGAAGCCTCAGGATCCATGATGGTGGTGCTGGTGACCCGCAGCGGTAAAAAGAACTGGCTGCAGTAAGACAGCAGTTAACCCCAGACACTGGAAAGTACCTGATTTTATAGGTCAGCGGCCACAGTATTTTTAGCAGCCGACTTAAAAAAAAAAAAAACAAAGAAACAAAAGTGAAGCTCAATCCATGTATGGTTTGCTTAAAGGTTAGGTTCACCTTTTAGCAAAAAATAATAAATGCATTTTTTTTACAGGTTAAAAAATGTGCATTTAGTATTTTTTGTTTTGGGAGCCTGGAAAGCATTGCACCAGTGATCAGCAGATTGCTGGTGCCATGCAAGTCTCCTGCAGACCTGTCAGTGTATCTGTCTGCTCATACAGCAAGCAGATACACTCTGACAGGAAAAATCAATAAACTACCACGGCATTCAACAACGCAGTGGTAGTTCATTGAGAACTACAAGCCGACACCCGCGAAGGCTGTCAGAACTTGTAGTTTTTCCATTCACAGAATACTGTGAATGAGTGACTCAGCTGGAAGGACAGAGCCCCGCATGACCATGTTGTTTTTTTCAATTGTGACAGCTAGCAGGGGAAGAAGATCGCTGCCAGCTGTCAAAACAGGGGATCAAGGGCCTATCCTTTTGTAACATGTTATTCCCTGAATATGGGTATAACACAGGGGCGGACTGACCATTTGGAAACTCAGGCACTGCCCGAGGGCCCCGGGTCAGTAGAGGGCCCCATGAGATGCCCCTGGTACCTTTTTCATAGGCTTTTTTGAGTTTGGGCAAGGACACAGGGGCCCCATGATCCCCTATTGCCCGGGGGTCCCATGAGTTGTCAGTCCGCCCCTGGTATAACATGTAACATGTTACGAAAAGGTGAACTTATCCTTAAATTCACCTTTTCACGAAAAATGAAAAGGCGAACCCACTCCAAATATCCTGGCCACACCTCCGGACCCCACTGCACATAGTGACTATGATGCCCCTTGTATCAATATATTTGTCTGTAAAACGCAATACACCCCACAGTAAGCATCTATCATACTGCTCACAAAGGGGAGGGCTCCTTGGTTATTGCAACCACATGGACCTGTGAGAAGTCCTCCTTTCTTCTGGGACACGTTACCAGAAAAAGCCTCAAATGCACTATTCATTGGTCAGCATGCTCACATGGATACTCACCCCAGGGCCTTGAAAGGCTTTGTTCAAACAGGGTGTATCAATGCATACACCCATGCAGGTCAATCCAGAAAAAAACATCACTTCTCATAAAGTGAGAAGGCTATACATTAAAATCTTTGCATTTTCTAGTCCCTTCTTTAAGATATAATGGGAAGTTGTCATCTTAAGAGTTACATAAATATAGGTGTGACTCGGTTTACAAATTGAATGTGTTCTCCGGGACATTTCGTATTGCGAAAAATTTGTAAACCAAAACGCGGTTTCCCATAAGAATGCATTGAAAACCAATTAATCCGTTCCGGAGGTCAGAAAAAAGTAAAAAAAAAAAAAAGTTGCTGTCACTATAGGCCAGTGCCGGTTTTAAATTTAATTACGGTATTTTTTTTTTTTCTTCACTATAGCTCAGAGAATCAGCTGTCACTTTCCCCCAGCTAAAAGAAAAAAAGTTTCATTTTAGTTTATTTTCCCAATTTAAAAGAAACAATGTTTCTTTTTAGTTTGTTTCCCAAGATAAAAGAAATAAAGTATCCTTTAGCTCTGGGGAAAGTGACAACTAATTCTGTGAGCTATAGTGAAGAAAAAAAAAAAAAAAAGCCGGCAATTGCATTTACAATTTGGCATCGACATACACTTTGTATTGCAAAAAAAAAAATTCATAAACCAAGGCATTATTTTCAATGGATTTTCATTTGTAAACCGAAAATTATATTAATTGAGGCTTTCGTAAATGGAGGTACACCTGTACAGTCATTCAATAAATAATAATTTGGCCTTGTTCACCCAGGTGTACACCTACATGAAAACTGTGTTTTGTCTGCACAGATGTTTTGCAGCTGTCACATCCTAACTGACATCAATGGGCCTACCTGCAAGTAGATGCACAGAACATCCGTGCACCTCCCCTGTGGGCAAGCACGGACATACATATTGATACACCCCATGTGAACGAGGCCTATTGCAGTGTATGGCCATCACCCCCGCCATGTGCAGCCGGGTCTGGAGGGGTGACCATGATATTTGGACTATAGTTCATGGTTTCATGTTCTGAAAAGGTGAACCTACTGTTTACTCACCTTAAAGAGGAAGTTCTGCTTTAAAGAATCCCCCCAGCTCCTCTAACAATATTGGAGGCTAATTTTTTTGGGGGTAGCGAGAACCTAGTTTCGCCTAGGTGATTCCACCAGAAGTTGTCCCCCCTTACACAACGGTCACATCAAGCCCGACTTTGAAATCGTGCGACTTACAGTGAAGTCGCACAAGTTCAAAGTCAGGGGCCATGCCGATTAAAAGTAGTACATGTACTACTTTAGTAATCGGTGCAGCTCCAACCAAGTCCGAACCGCAATGATTTGCCCACTGTAATTGCGGACAATAGGGTGCAACTTGGCATACGATTTGCAAGTGTGACCGGGGTGTTACTGCTTACAAGGTCCCATAAGGCTGCTGGACCATTCACAAAGCGCAGTGAGACCCGAGCATGCGCAGCGGGAAGCCAGCTGTGAAGCTGCAAGGTGACACAGCTGGCTTCCCACAGTGCCAGGGATCCAAAGAGCTTGGTGAAGACCCAGACCCTTGGGTGAGAACAGGGGACCCAAAGACTGGTGAAGACCCAGCTTGGGTGAGAACAGGGGACCCAAAGACTGGTGAAGACCCAGCTTGGGTGAGAACAGGGGACCAAAAGACTGATGAAGAACCAGCTTGGGTGAGAACAGGGGACCAAAAGACTGGCAAAGAACCGGCTTGGGTGAAGACCGGGACCAGGGGCAGACTGACAACTCATGGGGCCCCCGGGCAATAGGGGATCATGGGGCCCCTGTGTCCTTGCCCAAACTCAAAAAAGCCTATGAAAAAGGTACCAGGGGCATCTCATGAGGCCCCCTACTGACCCCTGGCCCTCAGGCAGTGCCCAAGTTTCCAAATGGTCAGTCCGCCCCTGCCGGGGACCCAATGACTGGTGATGAACTGGCTTCGGTGAGGAGCGGGGACCCAAACACTGGCGAAGAACCGGTTTGAGTGAGCACTGGGGACCCAAAGACTGGCGAAAAATTGGCTTGGGTGAGGACTGGGGATCCAAAGACTACTAAAGAACCGGCTGGGGTGGGGATGGTGCTGGATCACTGGACAGATGAGTGTCCTTTTATTACAATATTTGTAGCTTTTTTTTTCTACAGACCAAAGAACCTCCTTAATGCAGAACTAAACCCTCCTATCCTTTTCAGTCAAGCAAGCTGCCATCTTAGCTTGTTAGATCTGCAGTTGTCATGGTGCTGCACATGTGATCAGCTATTTCATAGTTTGACAGTTTGGTTGAGGGCAAAAGGAAATGTGATTCCCGGCATGCAGGTAATTTAACCGTTTTTTTTTTAGATGGGTTTAGTTCTGCGTTAAGGGCCCATTTTCATCATACGTGGAGGGGGCCTCTCAAAGTCCTGCTATGGACACCCCTGAGAGAAGGAACTTAAAGCGGAGTTCCACCCCAAAGGGGAAATTCCACTTTAAGGCTTTGTCCCCTTCTCCCCATTAAGGATTGGCACCTTTGGGGAGGAGGTACCCAAATTTGACAGGTTCCCACTTGGCGATTGCCTAAGTGGAAGTTGTCCTCCCTCCCCGTAGTCTTCTGGGACCCGTGACAGTTACCAGAAGACTACGAGACCATTCACAAAGTGCAGCGCTACTCGTCATGCACAGTAGGCACCTGGCTATGAAGCCGCCAGCTATCACAGCCGGGTGCCACAAAGAAGATGCCAGCGCCGAGGAGACAGAAACGCTAGTCAACCTGGCCGGTGTGAGGACACCGCGGGATCGAGGGACAGGTGAGTGTCCATTTATTAAAAGTTAGCAGCTACAGTTGTACCTACTGACTTTTATTTTTTTGAAATTCCGAAGGGACCTCCGCTTTAAGGTCTTCCACCCCACAACTGGCCTTTTTGCTAGATAAACGCCCTGTATAGACAACCTGTGCTGAGAGAGGTGGATCTATCCTGACTCTGTCCCACACCACCCTTGCACTGTCTATGGGCAGCTTTACATCCAACAGGAAGTCTACAATGTACTGCGCCTTGTCCGGTGGGTGAGGAGCCCATAATGCAGGGCAGACTCCTCCCTGAAAGCCCACGTTGTACATGAACAGCCGAAGCGGCACCTGACCTCTCTCTTCGCTAGAGTGGCCATTCCCTCCGACAAGACGCGGCAGCCGCACCGCTGACACAGCACAGCCCGAGAATTCTTCCCGTCCGCCGACACCAAAGACTCTTCCATTCTACAGTGTGCACACGAAGGCCGGAGACGACACTGCAGTCATGTGACCGGCTTCTTGGGTGACATCATCACGTCATGTGATGTTCGTCCTGCCTGTTCAGTCACGTGGGGAAGGCGGCTCTAGGGAAGTCAGGAGTGTCTGCTTGGACAAAGCTGATGTGGTTTGAATTGTTATTATTATGGTTTTCTTCAAGACTTTGTCCTGCACTGCTTGCTTTGCTGTGAATATGAAGAAATAAAGAAGATATTTGACAACCACTTGCTACCGGGCACTTTTACCTCCTTCATGCCTAGGCAATTTTTAGCTTTCAGTGTTGTCGTACTTTGACAATTGCACGGTCATGCAACATTGTGCCCATGTGGATTTTTTTAATATAATTTTTCCCTCCACATAAATAGAGCTTTCGTTTTTTTGTATTTAATCACCACTGGGTGTTTTATTTTTTGCACTATAAACAGCAAAAAAAAAGTTTTTCTTTTCTAAAATTTTGCAAACAGGTAATTTTTCTCCTCCACTGATGTGAGTTGTTGGGACGCGAAGATAGGCAGCACTGATGGGCACCGATAGGCTGCACTGATAGGCAGCACTAATGGCACTGATGAGGTGGCACAGATAGGCTGCACTGGTGGGCATTGATGAGTAGGCACTGATGATGCTGCACTGATATCCAGCAATGATGGGCACTGATGGGCGCAACTGCTGGTCACTGGTGGGAGGCACTGCTGGGCACTGATCACTGGTGGGAGGCACTGCTGGGCACTGATCACCAGTGCCCTGATTGTGATGATTGTGCGCAAGAGAGACATGGACGCTGTACATGACAGCCATCTTGTTAAGGTCTCCCATTTACAATAGTCTCTCCTTTCCTCCCTCCTCTTGAAATGGAATTTGTAGCTGTAAGTTGTAACGGACTTCAAAAGAGCCTCTTATCTTAAATAAAACACAGATAGATGAAGCTCTAAGAGCTGTAAACTGCTAATTAGGCATGGCAGGATGTCTGTATGGCAGAGACACTTTACTCTGCCCTATCGTAAAGCAATAACTCAGCCATGACCTGTTAGGCCATTAGAGCTCTAGGATGCAGAGCATGCCATAAAGCATCCATTCCATATGTCACAATTTCACATACAATTCATAAAATTCAACAGGAACTGGGCACATTAATATTAGGTATATATTTGGAAAGGTCATTTTGTGTTGAGTCAAACGAGGTCATACGTGACTATGTTAGCACATAGGAAGGGGGAGAAAGCAGTCTCTTACCTCCTGGGTGTCAAGGGTGCGCTGTGTTTGGTATCCCTGGGTTTGAAATGCAATTCTGATAATTAATCTGCCAGTTGCTAGAATACCACCTGTACATACTGGAAGTTATTAATATTAGTATGAAACTGCACTTGGTCATTAACTGGGTGGCCGCCTAGCACCCATCCCCAAACTGGATGATTGATCATTTGTTCTCAGGCGACACCCCTTTAATATCATAGAAAAAGACTGACAGGTCTGGAGAAGAGAACTGGAAAATCTCTGTGCAGGGCACAGCTGAGAGTGACATTGTTACGCAAGTGAAAGATCGGCTGGTCCTTCGGTCACGAGTAGGTGAGAAGGGCAGTGGTCGGACACCTTGTTCCGTCACACTTGTGATGAGTACAGATGTCCTCTGTGTCATTTGCCGGTTATCGGCAGTACTTTCCTCATGCTGTCACAGCATGAGGAAAGTGCAGTCGATAACTGGCAACTGTATTTACTTGGTGATCTGCTGTGTCATTGGACACAGCTGATCACGTGGTAAAAGGCCACTGTGATTGGCCTTTTACCTCATCATGTGATCAGCTGTGACCGTAGGAGCAATCATGGGCAGCACCAGGTGCACACCGCTGGGGGAGGGTGCGTTCTGGGAGGACATCATATGACGCCCTACCAGAACTGAACAACCGCGCTGTAGCCGTCATTTGGCTATAGCGCAGTTGGCAAGTGGTTAATTAATGGTGGAATGGCCATGGTGGAGGGTTGGGAAAATAGGAAGTTGGGCCAGTTTTACCACCTGCCATAAAGTGGTTGTAAATATGAAGTATGGACAAAGTACATCCTTTTATAGTGTGTACTTGTCTCAGTTAAGAGCACTAAGTATAATGTAAGCTCTAACAAGCAGGGACCTCCAATTTCTCAGAACTCTCCTCAGTGAGTTCTGCAGAGTGTAACTGCAGCTCTCCGACCACTTTTTTCTGAACTCTCAGACAAGCTGCATACAGTCAGCACTTTGAACAGATGTACAGAAGAGAAGAATGCAGATGTACAGAGGAGAATAATGCAGATTAACAGGTACAACTTGTGTAGGAGGATTTGTTTTATCTCCTGTTTATCACCTGAGACTAGTCACTTAACTGGGAATAGGTAAGTTTTATCTTAAAATGACAACCTGATAGGGTGGTACACAAATTAAATAACACATCTTGCTTGGCAAGTGATACCACTGCTAAATGTGAACCATTCCTAAGAATGGTACCTTGCTGCAATCACATTTAAGGCCTTGTGCCTAAGAACTACAGCATATGCCCGTGTGAGGCTCCATTTACATCTGAGCGTAGCGTTTTTTGCACTTTTTTTGTGCATATTTTACCATCATTTTTGCGCTTTTTCATACCATCATTGTTGCTCTTTTTCATACAGTGTTTTTTAACCGTTTTCGAGCTTTGGTGTTTTTTTTATTAGCCAATAGAGAAAAATGTCATCTGTTGCATCATATGTTGCTAGGTTTTTCTGCTCCAGCTTTTCCATTAGCTTTTATTTCTTTTATTATTATTATTATTATTATATGAATAATTTAAAATTTTATTATTAATTTATTAATTATTTGATTAATTTATTATTTAATATTTTTATTAGGGTGATAATAATAATATTAATAAATAATGTTAAATACACAAGTAAATAAAAATAATCATAAATAAATGCTATGTAATAAATAAAATAATAAAACCCCTAACCTTAACCCCTTAACCCTTAAAAAATATATTAAAAAAATTATTATTATTATTAACATTAACCGCTTCTCCTCTGCCCTATAGCAGAAATACTGCTACAGGGTGGCAGGGGTGCACAAAATCACATATATACGTGACTTCGCATTTCCGGGTAGGGGGCATGCGTGAGCTGCTCGTGTGCCCTACCTGCGCCACCATTCACGGCCTCAGGTGTCAATCACCAGGTCCCGCTCCGGTGATTACTCACCGACACCCAGTGATCACCGAGCATGTCCAACAGGGGAGAGACCTGTGTAAAAACAACACAGACCTCTCTCCTGTCAGCTCTTGCACACTGTAAGCACAGTGTGCTACAGTGAAGCACACACACAGCCCAAGTAGTGAAACATCACATAGTAAACCCTTTGATCGCCCCACATTTTTAACCCCTTCCTGCCCAGTGCCATTAGTACAGTGTCAGTGCTTTTTATTAGCACTTATCACTGTATTGGTGTCACTGGGGATATCAGTGACACCAAGTCAGTTCCCTCCAGTGTCAGAATGCCTGCCGCAGTCCCGTTATAAAGTCGCTGATCACTGCCATTACTAGTACAAAAAAAAATATCCAGTGTATATACCGCTATACACTATAACTTTAATGCAAACTAATTAATTTACACGTATTGGGATTTTTTTTTAGCAAAGTCATGGAGCTGAATACATTTTGGCCTAAATTTATGAAGAGATTTGATTTTTTTAAATTTTTTTTACTGGACATGTTTTAACCATTTCAATACCGTGCAATTTTATACCTTCCTGCCCAGGCCATTTTTTCACGTTTCAGCGCTCTCACACTTTGAATGACAATTGCGCGGTCATACAACATTGTACCCAAACTAAAATTTTATCATTTTCTTCACACAACTAGAGCTTTCTTTTGGTGGTATTTAATCACCGCTCGGGTTTTTATTTTTTGCTAAATTAACAAAAAAAGACCAAAAATTTTGAAAAAAAAACAACGTTTTTTCTTTGTTTCTGTTAAAAAAAGTTTACAAATTAATATTTGTTCTTCATAAATTTAGGCCGAGATGTGTTCTGCTACATGTCTTTGTTGAAAATAACCCAAATTAGGATGTATTTTTAGTTTGTAGGAAAGTTATAGAGTTTCGCAAACTATGGTATAGATCTGAATATTGATCAATCCTGAAGTACTGACGGCCAATCTAATTTCTTGAGGTCCAAGAATGTCAGAATAGTACAGATATCCCCAAATGACCCCTTTTTTGCAGAGTAGACAGTCTGACGTACTTCATAAGAGGCATGGCGAGTTTTTTGAAGTTGTATTTTTTTTGTCCTTTTTCGGAAAATGAAAAAATTAAAAAAATTATTATTTTCACTATTTTCTTTTACATACTGTCACCAGTGCAGTACAGCGTCATCATATAACGGGCATGGCGGTGAACAGGGACACTGACTGGTGACAGTATGAAAAAAAAATATATATATTTTTTTTTAATTTTTTTATTATTTTTAAATTTTTTATTACATTTTTTTATTTTTAAAGATTTTTTTTTTTCATATTTTACTATGACCAAAGTAGTACAATGTTTACCATAGTAACATTGTACTACTTTGGGGAAGTGATCAGTACTTTTTTTTTTTTTTTTACACAATTTGCTTATAGCAAAGAATTACTTTGCTATAAGCAAGCATTTACCTGAATGAAATCGATTCATTCAGGGTTTTTTTTTTTTTTGTGCTTAGCTGTGATTTGGTCACAGCTAATCACATGACATGTGCATGTGATTAGCTGTGACCATTCACAGCTAGGCACTAGTATACAATGGATGGCATGAATGAAGCCATCCATTGTATACAACTGTCATGTGACCTGCTGTGATTGTCACAGCAGGTCACATGGTACCAGCAAGGGGGGCCGGTACTCAGATCTGTCATCGTGCCGCTGCGCGGCTCTGCATTAGCGCAAACTGCGCACGTGCGGGAGCACGCCAAATGGCGTGCACCCCAGAATGCCGAAG